ATCCACCTGTTGCGCCATGTTAAAATATATGATAGGCTTTTGGCATTGCGATGGCTTGAGGGAAATATGGGGAAGCACAGACGCAAGGAGGAGCAATTTGGTTTTCGTGCTTTCAACAGGTGTTTGTGTTATAGAACGCGTTTGTTCAGGTCCCAAAGGAGAAATCAATCCATTGAATGGCGGGATTACGCTTGTGTTTGCTGTGCCGAGCTCATAGTATTTGTTGCTGTTTGAAGGCGGTATCTTGTCCAGACTTATCCCTTTTCACTTCGCCAAATGACGCTGCACCACCAAGCCTGCACCGATTGAGCCAATAGCTACCAAGCAACCAGCTATTCAGCATGCGGACCAACCGAAGCATGGAGCAAGGTATCTGTTTCAACAGGTAGGCGCAATGAATCGAACTGGACCTTGCCTGCCGTAAAGTCTGCAGGGCGCTTCCACTGCAAGCCGGACCCAACCAAATGCAAAAAAGACGCTTAGTTTTATGACATGTCTTGGTTTGCAGCTGAATCTTCCCTAACCTTTGGGTTTTGGCCAAGCGCTTAGCTCAGTTAGCTCTTCTTTGGGTTTCCGTCCGACGTGTCTTGAGGGTCTTTGGAGCCAACCTCTCCTCCCAGCTTTGGTGAAAGTTCCTTGCGGCGCTTGCAAAGGCAAGCTTTTGCCTTATATTGGTTTGGCCCAAGCTTTTGCGCGTCACATGTGCCGCTCGCTCAGACGCATCAGAATCAAAGCGCCAGCATGTCTCTCCAAAGAGCAGCGTGTTTCCTGCGCAACATGTTGCAGAAAAAGAATGTCCACAGAAGCCTGATGGAGTTTCTGCAAGAAGATTGCCAACAGAGGGACATGTTCCTCAGCTTACTTGAAATGCTTGGGAAGTGAAGTCAATTGGGTTTGCTCCAACCTTCAAACAATGATCAAACCACAAGGGATATTGTGTTCTGTTGTTTTGCCCTGCTAGGATCATTTTTGTATCCTTAAAGGATCTTCGAGCACCCCTGCCGGGAATGTTTCGGAAGTCCATGTCTCAATAAATAGCTGTGTCGGAACATCAGCAACGTTTCTGGTGTATGTGAAAGGGCTTGCCTATAGGTAACGCCTCAAAATGTGCGGTTTGAATTTGGTGTCACCTAAACAATCCGAAAAAGAGTACCCTCAAAGAAAGACACACCTATGTACACACACACGCCAGCACTGGAAGTCTTCCTCCGCTTGCTGCTTGCCGCTTGCCGCCCCGGTTAGCGTTGCAATGGCGAGATGCTGAGCCCGCCTGGCCTGTCGTTTGCTTCCGGCCTTCTTTGGAGCTTTTGAGGGTACAAGGGCCACAAGGATGACAATGGAGGCGTGGATTCGGATTCCTACTGAAGCAAATTGCCACATAGGATACCCTAAGCAGACCCTTACATAAAACGCTTCTTGGCTCAAGGGAAGCACGAATGGAAGCTGCCCACGGGTGCCCCTGCCCAAAGGATTGACTCCCTGGGCCTCCTTGGTCTTCCAAAAGGGTTTGCGTTTCAGAAAGAACACGGGCTCCATTTGGTTTTCGTCAGGGCAATGTAAGAACGAGTTGGAGAAAGAGCATGCGACATAGGAATGACTTGGGTGCTTTCGCCAAGTTGTCGTGAGTATGTGGGGGCCACCAACCAATTGTGCGAATATAAGCCACCAACTGAAGGAAGTCGCATGTGCGGAATGTATCCACCTCAATTTGCAAAAGTTATCTTGCAATGGAACCTCCAATTCGTGAGCTCTGTCCTGCTCTACAGTTTCTGAATCATTGACATGTCCATCTCACTAACATGCAGCATGAGGCCTCTAAAAAACAATGTTACTGTTAACACTGGGTTCATTAAGCTGAACAGTGTGGGATGTAATTATGATGCAGAGTGTATATATATATATATACATGCATGCGGGTAAACATGCTAAAACACCCCGTGTGGCCCGCGTTTTGTTCAAGTTGCTTTGCCTTCATTGAGTTGGATGAGTGGCATGTGTGTGTCTATATATATATGCAATGCTCAACATGGGGAGCTACAAGATGGCGGCTTTCCTTGTGGTTTCACATTGCCCAATTGAATGGTTTCCAGAGTGGCACTTTCATGGACACAGAGGTCCTTGCAATTCCAATGCGGTGGCCATCTTCCCATCTTCCCGCTTCTCTGTAGGTTTTCTTTGTGCTTATTTTGTCCGCCAGAGAAGAGTTTGACTTTTGGAGGTGCACATCTCAGACAGCGCACTTGATTTGGCGGAGTTCCCCCAAAGGCGTGTAAATCCCCAATGGTGTGTTCTCTCTTTTTGGCGGGTGGGACGGCTGGCCGTCCAGAGGATGGTTCTCCGGCTCCGACGAGGATTCAGGCTCCGGCTCAGGCTCACGCGGGCGTTTTCCCGTCGAGTTGGACTGAAAGAACTTGAGTCCATTTGGCTGCCGTTTGGCAAAGAAACCCGACTTGTTCACTTCCTGGAAGTGAGGAAGTGAGTTTTCCACTTTCTTTTTCTGTGAGGTTCTTCCATGGAAACGTCTGGAGTTTGGGACCATTGACTCAGCAAAACGCCATGGCGAGCGAACCGAACCCGCAGAAAAAACAAATCGCGTTTGAGTCGGTCAGGTTCTTTGATCGGGCTTCAGGCTTCAAGCCCCGATGCTCGGTAGCGTGATCCGGTTGCCACAAGCAAAGGGACCAGCTGGGCAAAAAAAATAGTATCCCACACCCCGGGTAGTATGTTGCTCTAGAACGCCGTCTTGAGAGGACATCAGGTTAATATGCTTTTCAAGACTGCAGTCTTGAGAGGACATGAACATGTGATCGCTTGGAAGTTTTTAGGAATCGAGGCAAGGTCGGGCATGTCCGAGTGCTCGAAGCCATCGACAATTTCTTGGTCCGACCGAGCTCTCAGGGTTCTTGGATTTGGTTCACGAGTCACCACGAGTAAACACGCGTCTGGAGTCATTCCTTGTTGGGTTACAATGTCATGAGAATATATGGTTCGACCACCATGTGCAGTTCGGACAATGTATGAAGTCTTTTCTTGTGATGATATTCGATCGCCTTTTGGACTGTCACCGTGCTTTTTGTCAACCAGGGAAAAGTAACGAGCATGGGATGACCATTGGGGAAAACCACTAGAACGATGCTATTTCGCACATGGGAAGAGTTACCCATGCTCATTTGGGGGCCCTAAATGGAATTTTGATCAACCCCCACATGACTAGAGTTGCACTGCGTGGGCCAAACTGTGCTGGAGTAGTCGGATGAGTGCTGCGCCAGTGCAGAACGAGAAGGCGCAGACGGTCTATCTCCTCCGTTATGTGTTTTTGTTGTTTCATTTGTTTATGACCCCCCCTGGAATTCGAATGCTCAGTAACTTTGCTTTCTCCGCTGGATGTTGGGGTTGGCCTAAAATTAAACCACCCATTTTGAGGCTTCCGCCAGTATCCACAACCTACGGTCATATTCACCATCATACACAATTGGGGGGCGAAATCACTCACCAAATGTCCAGCAGAAAATGGGGAGTGGGGGGGTTTTGGGGGGGGTTTGGTGGTATTCACAAAAGTCCCGATTAGGCCACACAATTTAAGGGAAGCCCCTTATTTTCAGGGTTCCATTTTTGGGGACGCGTGGGCCTTGGTCAAACCGCCCCTCTTGGGCCGGGCAGCCAGGAAGCGAAGAGCGAGAGCCGGGGGCCTCTGATCGGTGCATCGGAGAGTAGGTGTTGGGTGTTTCGAGGGTAACCGAAAGGCGAATTGAAAAGGAAAACCACCATTTTTGGGGCTCCCCCTATTTTCTTGGCTCCCAGCCATCCGGTTCCTTAGCTTTTCTAGCCGTTGAGTGTTCAGTGATAGTTTCCATTTATCCCACAAAAAGTTGAACTTTTAGCGGGGGATCTGAGGGCAGCCCAGTTTTGACACATACCTAGTTGCCTGGCTCTGCGGGAAACATTTGTTTGGTAGACAGGTACGTTCATTTTGCCAGTTGGGGCCCGAAGATAATCTGCCTCTTTTATGTCGAGCGATTTCACCGATTCGGGGTCAACCGTTGGGGATCCCTCAATTCAACCATTGGAATTCTTTAAGAATTATAATGGGGTTGTGGGGTACTTTAAAACCAACACGCGCCATGATCATAAGATATGATGATGTGTGTATTTCTGTAGTCCCTTGTGTTGACGGCCATTGAGCAGAGAGTTCTGAGCAAAGTAGAAGGAGCCCACTCCGGATGAAAACGAGCGACATGATGAAGGGGGAGTCCAATTATTTCCAGATGCATGGTTGTAGCTTGCCCCAAGAGTTTCACTGTGACACTTGGGTGAAAGTAGATAGCGCAGCTCCCTTGTGTTGTAGAGGGGAAGTTGTAATGTACGTGTGCTTTGTGTTTTCTCAGATGTGCCCCCTAACCCACTTACTGGCACCCGGGGGGAAGTGGGATATATATATATATATACACGCATATACATAGATGTATGTAATGCAGATACTGAAGAAAGCGGTTGTGCACCCGACTTCTTGGAGTGTTAGAAAGCTGCGAATTTCAACCATGGTCTTAGTTCCGCAAAGGCTGCCTTGAAAGTCAGACAACCTGAATACTCCAATTCATATCGAGCTAAAGTGTTTAAACCAGGTGTTGGTTTGAAGGAACTCAAACAATTCTCCTTTCCGATCTGAATTGTTTTGTCATTTGAGGTGCTTGTCCGTTGAATTACTGAGGGGCTCGTTCTTGGGAACGCAACCTTGGGTAAGGTTGTGGATTTAAACGCCTGGTTGGGCGGAACGGGAAACCGTGTTTTTCAAGAGCTGTAGGGGGTCTACGGGTGTTCTCTCCCATTGCACTAGGCTCGGAGATCGGATTGCACAGATTGCTCGAGCCTTCGGATCCGAATCGGTTGAGGTCAACCCATCCCAGGACCCCCCACTCGTGCCGCGTGAGCTCGGAAAGATCCAGTCCACGGTCAATTCAGGACAGGTACATGGGCATAGGAGTCCGTTTTGGTTGTTTTGGTAGACAAATAGATGGGCCTGGCTTACCTGGTGGTTTAATCATCTACCAAACCTTTTATTTCCCCTAAAAGGACACCTATGGACATGCGGGATGAGCTCTAAGTTTCAACCACAAAAGCCAGGGGGGACTGGCGAGCTTTCTCATGTTCATTGCGGGAGCCATATCCTCTGAGCGCGACTCATGTGCTAAGACAATCTGGCTTTGGAAGTTTCATGTCATGCTGTGAGCAGGCGACCCATCGGCGATAACTCCATCCATGAATAGTGGGGGAGCCTTCCAAAATGGAACCTCGGATGTAACCCAAACCAGGCTCTCCGTCCGAAAAGCATGCTTGGTCTTCCGGCCTGACGTCGGGTTGTGTTTTTGAGTGCGAGGCATTTCCTATGGCAGTTCTGGAGGAGTGCGGGATTCGAGAACCATGCAGAGTCCAGATGGGGTTTGTCAACATGTCCACTGTTTTTGTTTTGAGCGGGGGGAGGGACATTTTGTTGTTTGGGGGGCGAGTCGAATTAGAACAACCACATAAACGAACCATGATGGAAAAGGGCCTACACAGTGTTTGTTGATGGCTATGTTTGCGCTTTGTGAAATTTGGTCAATCGGAAAGATTTGTTTTTTTCCGCTGCAGCCTTGCTGCATGGCGTGCGCAGTCATTCAGGTGCAGGCAGCTTCAGCAAAATTGACAGAACCCAAGAAACTTCTAGGAGTTGGTTGCCCCTGCTTTTTAATCATCCTTCTTTCAGCAATTCTTTCAACTGCAGGCAATTTCCTAGTTGTTTTGGTGGTTCCTTGAAAGAAGGTTCGGTTTCAGCAGGAAGTTATCCCTAGCACCTGCCAAACCTGAGGTCAAGGTCCTGGAAACCACTTGCTTTGGTTCAAGTCAACGAAGCCTTCTGGCTATTTGTAGCGGATCTGTGGACTTTTGTGGTTGACACAATGGGATTTTCCGACTGGGACCCACGAAAAGGTGATCAGCTGTTTTGCAGAGGGGTCGTTGCAGCATCCAGGTGCTGGGAATGAACCGTGGATCCCCAAGCCACAAGTTGGGTGGAGCTCAGGGGCCAGTTGCCAACAGTTGGGTATGGGTCAAAATTAAACCACCAGGGCACCACAGGTTTTAGTCCACGTTTTCATTTACGAGGGTTCCATTTTGGGTGCCGGTTTCTGACCCACAGCCATGTGAATACTAGAATAGACTACAGGAAAAAGGATACCCTTATTCTAACCTCTCTACTGGAGGACCTAGATACCCATCATCCATGGACCAAACTGCCATGAATTGCTCTCCCCAGGACCTTTTGGTTTCTGCCATGAAGCCGAAGGCTGTAGCTTGCCCAAGTTGCCTCCTAAGCCGAAGGCTGTAGCTTGTCACCTTTCCTTGTTTTTTAGCATATGTATCCATGCAATATATATATATATATATAGACATGTGTATCTATCTCTATGTCTATTGATCTATCCGTCTTTCTATCTTTACAAATATATGTATATATATAAGGCTGTTGAATGCGGGCGTCTCATGCGATGCGGGCATTCGAGCGGCTGTTTGTGAAAACTGAACCCAGAGAAAACTGGTCTTCATGCTTGACACGGCTACCGTGTATTGTCAACGCATGATGTGATCGAGCACTACGTCGGGTTCCTATACTTCCTCTGGTTGGAAACCTCAAAGAATGGTTTCTCCCGTTGTCTCACTGCATTTTCAACGGGAGCCCCGACTCGGCGATCTTCCGCCAGATTGCCAGGAGCAGCTCGCCTAGGGAGGTGCCTTCGGTGAAGTCATGCACACCAAGGCGCGCGGAAGTCGAGTCGTCGAGTCGTCGAGTCGTCGAGTCGTCGAGTTCAACGCAGAGATCTTGGGGAAACCCATACTGTGGATGGACGAAATCCATTTCGCACCGCCTAAGAACCCCCTGGAATGATGACTCTCCTGTAAACACCAACAAACAATGGTTTCCCATGGTTCTCAAATGGTGCAGGATTTCGTCCATCCACAGAAGGAACACCCCCATGTTTGGGCCATTGGGGTCCAAATCCCGATTTTGACGCATACCAATAGAAGTGATGGCTACGAATTTCAAGAGTTGGAACCCCCCAGAAAGTGGTTGGACAGAATCCCCACCATGATGTCCACCAAAGGACCCCTTATTAAAGTTCACCCCCCCTGTTTTGGTGTAGAACGTAGACCGGAGAGCATTAGACAAAAACAGCAGCTTCGGTCCCGGTGAAAAACAGTTCATGAAGTAGTTTTCTTGGGGCCACATTGGCATCCCCAAAACCGCAGTGATCCGCAAGACCCATGTTGGAAGACTTCCCCAGGTGTTGAACTATTTTCGGCGCGAACCCCTCTTGCAGGTTCCGTGTTTGTTAGGCCAACCTGCTGGCCCAACCCTGCTAGCCCCAAAGAAGGAAGACTCAAAACACCGAAAACAGGGGCCCCCGGTTCTTTGTAATGCGAGCATCGACCGACCACAGTTAAGTATTGCCATATACGTATTAACATATATATATATATACATATTTATGTAGTATTACACGTAGTCTAGTAGGTAAATTAGTGCAGGGCTTTGATCAGATGCATCCCTTTAGGGGCTTGGACTACCATTGTAGCTGCTTTCAAATCCAAATGCTCAAACTTCTGCATAGCAATGGGACCACTGCTTTGAGGGTGGACGTTTCTTTGCGAGCGGGGTGAGGAGACGGTTAGCTTAGCACTCTAACCACAGTTTCCTGCATTTGTCCTCTTGGCTTATTACAATGTTTAGTGTGCCTTGGATTCTGGAGGGTGGGAAATTCCCCAATTGTGACATTGGTTTGCTTTGGATTCTGGTTTGAAATGGTGCTTACTACAATCATCCTTTGGGCTAATTTAAAGTGAGCCTCTTTTGTTTTGGTGATGCTTTTCGGACAGACAAACATACTGGGCATTGCATTGCATTGTATTGCATTGCGCTGCTTTGCGCTACATAACATTGCATGGAACTGCATTACATTGCCCTGCATACATGCATACATATGTACCTGCCTACATACATCAATGCATACATACATACATACATACATACATACATACATACATACATACATACATACATACATACATACATACATCCACACATACATCCATGCATGCATACATCCATGCATACATGCATCAATGCACACATACCTCCATGCACACATGCATCCATGCATACATACATTCATGCTTACACACATACATCCATGCATACATGTCTGCATGCATACATATGTCCGTGAACACATACATCCATGCATGCACACGCCCATGCACACACACACATCCATTCATACATACATCTATTCACACACACATGCATCCATGCATGCATACATGTATGCGTGAATGGATGCATGTATATGTATGTATGCATGGATGTATCCATACATGGATGTATGTATGATTGCATGTGTGTGTGTGTGCATGGATGTATGTACTGTATTGTGTGCATGTGTATGCGTGTATGCATGGATGTATGCATGGATACATTCGTACATCCACGCATGCATACATCTATGCATACATACATACATACCTGCATACATACATCCATGCATACGTACATACATGTCTCCATGTATACATACATCCATGCATACATACATGCATGCATCCATACATGCATACATACATGCATGCATCCATACATGCATGCATCCATGCATACATACCTCCATGCATACATGCACACATCCTTGCATACATGTATGCATGGATGTGTGTATGTATGCATGCATGGATGGATGTATTATGTATGCATGGAGACATGTATGCATGGACGTATGTGTGTAAGCATGAATGTATGTATGCATGGATGGATGTATGCATGCATGTATGCATGGATGTGTGTATGTATGCATGAATGTATGCATGAATGTGTGTATACGTGCATGGATGTATACAAACATCCACGCATACATTCATCGATGCATGCATACATACATGCATGCATACATACATATTGACATCCACACATACATACATACATACATACATACATACATACATACATACATACATGGATACATACATGGATACATACATCCTTTCATACGTACATACATGTCTCCATGCATACACACATACATCTATGCCTGCATACATCCATACAGGCATACATGCATACATCCATGCATACATACACACATCCATGCATACATCCCTGCATACATACATACATACATACATATATATATATATACATCCATCCATGCATGCATACATACACATATCCATGCATACATGCATGCATACATGCATCCATACATGCATACACACATACACACATCCATGCATAAATCCATACACACACACATCCATACGTACATACACACATCCATGCATACATCCACACATACATACACATCCATGCATGCATCCGTGCATACAGCCATGCATACATACGCATTCATGCATACATACGCATCCATGCATACATACATGCATACATCCATACATCCATGTACACAGTAAAAGTCACCTGGGTTTGAAGCGCCTCCGGTCCTTTCGATTCAGGCGGCGTCCTGTGCTGTCGCGGGGGGCGCCGAAAGCCTGTGCTGCCGGGCTGGTGCTGATGGCGGGCGCAGGGAGGGCTCCTTGCTTGTCCTTTTTCGGCTTCCTTGCTTTTGGTTGGGGGTTTTGGGTTCGGGACTTTTGGCTCCGTTGGTTTAACCTTTTTTGTTTTTGTTTTTAAACTTACTAATATTGTTGTTTTGGTGTGTTTTTGTTTCCGCTTGTGGTTAATCTTGGCTTGTTTTCTTTTTGTCTTGTTTTTTTAAACTTACGTGTTTTGGGGGGGAGGGTTTGACTGCGTTTTCCCTTGCAAGGACAAGCACACGAGGCCTTGGGTCCCCTCGGCCACGAGCATCGCTTGAAACGAACACGAGGATCTGACCGGCGTTGATATGGCTGTGGTGGTCAATACCGTTTTGGGACCTTATTTTTGTGGGTTTTAGAACCTATTGTTGGTGGGTTTTTGGTGGGTTTTATTTTGGTGGGCTTTCGGTGCACCCATTTTAGGGCACCTATTTTAGTGGTTGGATCGGGATGTTCACTGGGGGCTAACCAGGATTTTGACCCATGGCCACATCAGTTCAATTTGGCTGAGGTGCCTTCAGCCTATGGCATTTTCCATTCCTCAAAAGCCCTAGCAGCACTTCTAAAAGTGCACAGACCCGTTTTTTTTTTTTGTTTTTTCTTTCGGAAGGCTGACACGTGTTCGGGAAGGTTTGGTCGCCATGTTGGGCATTGAAAATTGGTTGGTGTTTCACATGGGCAACATCTAGTCGCTTATTGTTGGTTTGTGAAGAAGGGAAGGTGGGAGCACCCAACGTTGCCCACAAAGCAGAACGTCCGGGGGTTCCACCAAAAACAGGTCCCCAAAACGGGGGCCACCCAATTGGGCTGTGCCATAATCTCCTGAACGTTGCTCCAGGCATCAGCAAAGATCATTCACAGCTTGACAAGGATGCAGTGGGTCAAAACCAATGGTACCATTGTGGGGTAGGTGCACCACCCATTTTAGAACCTATTTTAGTGGTTGGATTGGGATGTTCGCTGCAGGCGAACCGGGATTTTGACCCATTGTCATGTCAGTGTTGCAGCTCACGTAGTGCTCTCTCATCCCTATATTTTGACCGGCACGCCGTGGCGCACGCATCCATCAGCTCTGAGACACCGAGGTGGTTGCGCCTTCCTTTTGGCATCCCACGTGTCTCGAGAGGTCTTTCAGCAAATCTCGATCGCTGGGCCTGGCGACGCATTTTTGAAGGTGTTGTTTTTTCCCATGTCATGGGCTGGGTGGCAGCTCAGTTCAAGCACTTTTTCCCTCTATGCGTGTTGGCTATTGAAGGCATTGCTTTTTGCCCAACCCGAAATAAATCCACCATGTAGATAAAGCCCGGGTGGACAGCAATACCTTGGGGAGTCCTGAGAAGTTCATGTTGCGTTTCCCGAAGTGAAGAATTCCCGCAATGGGACATCCTACAATCAGGCAATCCTGAATTGGTGGGTTTTTTGAATTTGGGATTTGACCCCCTGGTTCTTGTGGGCCAATGGGAAACCACCCCCGTTTCACCCGCAAACCACCGATTCGGCTCCAAACCATTCGCTGGGAAGCTGACATATGTTGTTGGGAAACATTTTACATTTTTGCTTATTGTGGTGAAGTGGGAAATCCCCACTTAACTGCTAAAATTTAAATTTTGCTCCCCTTCCAACGTTAACCAAGTATGAATCAACGGCTTGAACTCCTTGGCTGGTGGATGTAAGTCCAGCTAAACTTCGGGGCTGCGCGCCAGGGCATCACCGTTTTCACGGCCATCTCCTTGGCACAGAAGCAGACACCGCAGTGGGGCCGGCCCAGCAGGATCTGGCTGGAGCTAAGAAAGGGTGGGCTTACAGTTGGTGACTCAAATGACGCGAAGAATATGCGAATATGTAGATAGGTTTTTGTGTATCTATAGGAACCACATTTAGGTACATATACAAGTACGCACATGCGTATGCATATTGCTATGAAATGCGAACACCTTTCGGCTTGTCTATTTTTGTTGTGTTGAGTTGCTTCAAAAGGCAGACGGTGGGACCTTGGCGAAGCATACCCTGAAACATACCCCGAATCATACTCCCGAATCGTACCGTAACCCTTCAAAACAAATGCAAAATGCTACTTTTCTTCTACCGTTTGTATTCTTCACTGTCTCCGCAACTAGTGCTGCCGCCACTAATACTACTACTACTGCTGCTGCTGCTGCTACTACTAAACTACTATATAGTAATAATGCTTCTACTACTACTACTACTACTACTACTCCTCCTCCTCCTACTACTACTACTACTACTACTACTCCTGCCACTACTACTACTACTACTACTACTACTACTACTACTACTACTACTACTACTACTACTATTACTTCTACTACTACTACGCTTACTGCTACTGCTACTGCTTACGCTACTACTACTACTACTACTACTGCTACTGCTACTGCTACTGCTACTGCTACTGCTACTGCTACTGCTACTGCTACTGCTACTGCTACTGCTACTGCTACTGCTACTGCTACTGCTACTGCTACTGCTACTGCTACTGCTACTGCTACTGCGAGTACTACTACTACTACTACTACTGCTACTTCTACTAGTGCTACTGCTCCTGTTACTTCTACTACCATCACTTCTACTCCCACAGTTCTCATTTTGAGTTCGTAATCAGTTCCGTTTACTAGCCGACTCATACCCGCGAATCATACCCGAATCATACCCGGGCAATGAGCTTCCCTTGCCAAGGCGGGTGCCAAGACTTTTGCAAAGCTTCCGCAGCACATACTGCTACTACTACCACTACTACCAACAACGGCTACCCCAAACAACGCCCCAAAGCGTAAATCTCCCACACCGCCCGCCAGCACCCCAAACTGCATGCCCCTGCCTTCTTGTCAAAATACATCTATATCGTCACCAGTACTTCAATC